CGACGAACTCGATCGTAGCCTTGTGTCACGAACCTCCATAAACCCGAAATTCAAAATGCTCTGGATTCCAAACGAAGCACGTTATTGAGCTGTAAAATTCTAAACAGATATAAATATACCGCCTATTATGCCTGATGAGGATAAAAACTTTGGTGGCTCTTCAGTTTTGGTTCTTAGAAAGTGATGGCGTCACGTGAAAACGATCTATAACATCAAAGATAATGCGCGTGAATGTCATTCGAGAATTTGAGGGCGCCACGATTTAACCTCGGAATTAACCTCGAAAGAATCTCTAGTGACACGAAGAAAAATTAATTCGTCGTTGTCCTCATGAACAAAGTCCTCATGAACAAAGTCTTGTTCCAAATCGACGTCCGATGTGAGTCATTTGGGACGCTGACCAATATTAGAAGGGCCACTGAACCTCAAATTAGGACAGAAAGCCTTCCAATGACCGGGTTTACCACAAGTAAAACACAAACCAGATGCCAATCTCTGAGACGAATGTTGCGGATTTACACGCGAAAATAAATTGGGTAGCTGTGAAGCGAAAAGTTGCGCAGTTGTTGAGGTCGATGTGACATTACTGCTTTGCTGGATCGAGCGTGAAGTGAAACGCTTTGTGGACCTAGCTGCTCTGGATTTGGCCCTGCGTATGATCTTCGTCGTCTGCGAAATCGTAATGTTAGAACTCGAGGACCGTCTTCCATCCGTACTCTGATTTATCAGCCAGTAGGATTAATTTTATGGTGCTCTTGAAGTAGATCCATGCCTTCATCTAAGGATTGTTTCATTGGTCTTCTCGATCACGACGTCGTTCCCTTTGAGGGCAATCTGGGCGTCTTCAATGGCATCTTTAATAGCTTTGTTAGATTTGTACTGCTCCTCGTTGCTGTTTTTGTTGAAGCGAGGAACGGAATCGCACTTCAGCCTTTAAATCTGCGACATCTGTTGGTAAGCGATAGACTCGTTAGATCGTTTGAGGTCAGAAATGGAAGAATTCACGAGATCTTTGATCAGAACGAGAAGATCTCTGTTGTTTTCATCGACGACTCTCCTGACGCCTGCTTCGTCCATAACTAGCAAAGGAAAACTGATGAAGAGAAGAAAGGAATCTTATGCGAAAGAGCTAGTGGCAAGGCTGACAGTAGAATGTCGATTAAGCGCCCCCCTCGAATAAGCGCCCCCGTCTTCTCCTAAATCATTTTACTTGAAATAAGCGCCCGAAATAACCAATTAATTTTTTTGGTCAATCTTTTATCATTTATTGGATGTTTATAAGGGATAGTCCATAGGGTGGTTTACGAGTGCTTGCATGAACTTGCATTGCAAGCGTTCCTGCAACTGGGGCGCCTAGGAAAACGTTTGCTAAGGATGCAACAGGAGCGCTATCTACATTTTCAGCACCACAGGGCCGCCTAAGGGGTCACTGGTCAGGAGGTAGTTTGGCATGGCTGGTTCCCAGGTTCTTTTCACGCGTCCCGTCAGGAGCACTAACGATATCAAAGATGTTGTACAAACTCATGCGGGAGAACTATTACCACTGGATTTGTATTTTTGTCGTTTTTACACCAACTGTACATGTGGTGCAAACTTTAAGCAAATGCAGCAAAGTAGATGTCTGCAAATGTTCGACTGACGAAGGAACTATCGATCTGTGGAGTTTAGCTGGTACAGCAAGCAATATACCCAGGTTTGGTTACGATCCGACATTGATTTGTCAGTGGTCTTCTTGACTGTGATTCATGCTTAATTTAGTGTACATCGTCGAGTTATAAAGTACGCGGGAAGTTTGGAAAGTGCGAAAAGTATTAGAGTTGCTAGACCCTTGCTAGAGGCATTTAGTTACTAACACAAGGAATGTCGACCTAAAATTGTCTAAACTAAATACGCTTAATGCATCAGTCAATTCCAGTAGTGCTCATCCCCCACCCCCTCCCCAGGGCTAACCCACGGGCATTACCAATTTTTTTAAAAAATGGGCAAATTCCCCATGGCACAAACTTGGCACCTATATTGATATTTGATTTCGGTAATGTTCACTCATTATTATGGGATTTGAATGACCTCCTTGTCAAATTTTTAAGGAGTAAAAGAAGTGAGGACGTTGTCATGCAGAGCAGAGCTGAAAAATTTGGCCAAGACAAACAAGCTGATTAAGGGTCAAAATTCGTGCATTATTTTCATCCATGTCTTCTGGAGCCCTAAAAATCAGCACAGTTGAGCAAAATGTGGCAGGGCTGTAACCCTACCAGTCCCTCCCCCTCCCTGATCCCTGGTAGCTAGGTCACCAACTGTGAGACGATATCTTGATGTGCATACTGTACAAGTACATGTACCACCAAATTTCCAGAACTTACATATTAACCACCTTGTCAAGGAAATGTCTAGCAACCATGCAATGTGAAGAATATTGGATGTTTAGAACTTTACTGGCTCTTTACCATCTGTCCCTTGTAGGTTTAAGGATATCTCTGTTAAAGGAGTGACTGGAAGTACAGTTGACTGGAATCCTTGTAACAAGTGGACTGCAAAACCTCCAGAGTCTGTAACAACCAGCAACTGTCAAGACATAGCTGTGAGTCAACAGTGAGCAATTTTTAGCATGACTGGACTATGTGTTAATCAAACAAAGACATCAACAAACAACCTCCACCCCCAGGAACGTGATTAGTAATGTTGATGTGTGTTGGTTGGTGGAAATTTGATGTCTTTGGTTAATTATTTGGGTGGAGAATTTGATGCCATATTGGAGTGGGGGGGTGGGGG